AAAAAAAAAAAAAAAAAAAAAAAACGACAAAAAATTATTTTTAAGATTCCAGTCTCTCCTTGCTTTCCATTTATTTATGAAAAGTCTTATTTCCGTGACATTTTAGCTCTCTAAAATTTTTTCTTGTAAAAATAGGAGAGACTCATACCGCTATTAATATACCAAGTAGCTTAGGTTTAGAAGAGACTGTTTCGGTAAACAGGAATTGAAAATAAACGTATTTTGATTTCTCTCAGAGTCGTGCAAATGTTCTTGTTTTGAAAGACAAAGTCAAGCTTAGTTTTTTCAAGCTGATGTGTGACGAAATCCTGCGGTAAATTAAGCTTCCCCTCTCATCCTATTCTTCCAGTACTAACTATTCTGGGTACACCTACTTTAAATTTTGGGAACATTCAGGGTGGATGACGGTTAATCTGCTCACAAAGCTTAAATGGACTTTCAAAGAAGCACAGTGTTCACGTTTTAAATAAGTTCCAGATTTAAAAAAATCCAACTTGTTAAGCTGCACCTGGCAAGAATTCAAAAAATTCGTGCTGTTGATAAAAGTCTACTGAGCTCTATCATAATACATGCTCCTGACATCTTAACGAGGGGCTGTTTAGTACGAATGCTGAGTCAGCCAACGCTTCGTCTTTGTAAGATCAGAAGCTTCAAGCTTTTCTCAGCTGCAATATTACGATGTCTATTTCCAGCCTTTGCAACAGTTTTATTACATTTATGTACAACATTTTAAAAAGCCAACTTGACCAAACCCGACCAATCTGACTTGCAAAATGGTTACAAGATGCAAGATGTCCACCACCTGACTTGCAACAACAAATGTGTTCTATTCTAAACCACGGCGGGCTGAATTTTGCCTTTTCTTTTCGATGTCACCTAAATTTTTGATGAAAGCTCCGTGTTGGAGAACCATTAGTCAGCAACTGCAAGCGAGAATTATGTCGCACATGCCACCATCAAAGGAAAAGTTTTTTTCCATGTTCACCCCAAAAAACAGCGATGATTACCAATTAATCAGAAATGATCTAAGAAAAGTTCTTAGCGCGCAGTAGCAAGATAGCGAACAATACTAAACAAATCTGGGAAGGTTGAAGTTCAAACAGCACTTCAATAAGCAACTGCCTAATAAATCTCGTAGAAAGCAATGTCAAAATTCAGACAAAATAGGCAAATTAAGAAGAAATGATGTCATTATGTTAGTAAACGAGCACTACCAAAGTCACCATGACGGTAGCAAAGGAATGGTACCGGTTTCACTGTGAAGGTTAGTAATTAAATAACTTAAGGAGTAGTGCCTGACTGCATGAAAATTTCACCAACTCCCCTGTCCCAAAAACGTCTCATATCCGTTAAGACAACTACATACAACAGCAGTGAAGGTCAGTAAGTATAACTTCATTACAGATAAGAAATTTTGAAAAAGATTTGGTCAAAAGTGCACAATAAATTTTCTGCAATAACCCAGAACACCTACGCTACAGGTGGGTTATTCATTGAAGGCGGAGGTTGATTAACATTTGCATTCCAAGCTGGATCGGTAGCGCCGCCGGAAAGATCGGCTTTTTTCCCTAGAGCCATGAATCCATAAACCACCCCGGAAGCAAATATTAGGCCGGATCCAAGGAAGGTGCTTAACTGGGCGCAAAGAATAAAGGGTATAGACCCCATCCTAAAACAGAAGAATTAGAAAGATGCAGGGAATAATTGGAGAACAACACTGAAAATCTGGATGACAGCAGTGTCGCACCAGTCAACCACTTCTCCAACAACTCATACTCGAAAACCCCACCTTTGATCTCAGACTAAAAAAATTCAAAAATTATTCGCTAGGAACGCAACAGAAATTCGCCTTAGCAGCAATAATTTTTGCCATAACAGAAACGCCATCAAAGAAGCCTCAACAGTGTGAACAGATGACAGTAAACCATAACAAAAGTAAATATCTACCAACAAACTTACACGCAGAAAAGAACCGCTTTCTGCCAGTGTTTACGAGATTCAGAAAACATCGCTATTTTTTCAATGAAGTCCACGCACATGCAGCAGAAGGGTGCTTCTATAGCAACTGCGAGGAGACCAAAAACCCTAAAATAACGAAGAAATTGCCAAACCGTTACGGAAATAATTTATACCGGGCCAAAGTTTTTAGTTCCTGCTCAGACCAGCCACAATTCAGAAGAAAGCCCTTTTAGATCGGCAATATCCGTGTTTGATTTAATATCGCTCAAAAATGATGGTACAAGACTTTCTGCGGCGAGCGAACACGAAAAAAATTTACACAAAAACTATGGTACTTACAGCTGGAATAAAGACGCCATTAAGCACAAGTAGTTCAAAGATACGAGACCAATCACGGCAAAAAATATAGCAATAAAGCCTCCAATAACTGCTAAGCCTTTTGCGAGTAACCGTACCCACCAAGGAAATGCGGCATTTTGTTCGTGCTCTGTACGCATTTGAGCCTGAACTCCGGATGCTGCGGCTCCCATCCCTGACGCTGTGAAGAAGTAAAAGCTGAAACTACAGATTAAGCGTGACTTGTCAACACCAACAAAACACGCATAATTTCGTTGTGACAGTTATTACTCAAGGTCAAAAACCTAAGTTGGAAATAAAGAAAGGAAACCAACTAAACAATTTGAACCAAATGTCAATTCTAGAAACCAAATTCTTTCTGCTAAAGTATCCTATCCAGTAAGTGAATCCAACTACAGCGCAGCCATTGAAACAGTTGAACTTCAAAGGAAAAAAAGAAAGGTCAAAACAAAACACAGTTGTTCAGTACCCTAAATGGCACCAAAAACAACGATTCAACCTCTAATATCCTCACCAAAAAATAACGATAATGAAATTGCTAATGTTATAAATGACCAATAATGAAACAAATAAACTCAGTACGCAGACGAAACTTTCATTCGGCAATCAAAAAATATTACTTTGCAGAAATGTTCAATCGTTTAATGACCCAAAAACGACTAAAAGGGAGATTATAATCGCACTCCTTTCACGTGTTATTCCACGTACTAGAGGTTTCACTGAATTTAAGCAACGTCGCGCAGTGGAAAAATGAAACCCAAAATAACAATAATATTAATAAACACAAAAAAAATAATAATAACAGTAATAATATAAATAATAACAATAATAATAACGGTTTAAACACATAAGAAAAAACTAACACATCAATAACTGTTTATATATTCCAGCGAAAAATTTAAGCACAACTACTAAGCGCGCAAGAATTTTATTGAATGCCAAGTACGAAGTCTATACATCGGACCCTACTAACTGACTACTGACGACAATCATTAACATGCAACGCGTCAACTCTGCACGGTTTATACATATTATCACAACCACCAAAAAAGTACGTCAACACCCCCCTTTCCCCCTACAATTCTATAAAGTGACCACTTCTCCGAAAGAAGTTTACGTCCCTTCTCGCCACTGTTGCGTGTCTACTGAACGACATCGGCGCAAATTTACTGCATTTCTCGGTTACTTCTAGCCTTTACCACCATTTATTTATTTCCTCAGATGACACCTAATTACTGATGCCTGCTAAGCGTCAATGAAAATCATATTGTGGACTCAGCAATTAAGAAAAAACAGATGAAAAAAAGTAAAAAATCCAGTCGTTTAGGGCGTTTTTAGCTGATATCTGAACCTTCGAATTTTGAACATTTCTCAAGTCCAGTTCTAAAACATTAAAAGCAAGATATTGTTTCTTTGATTCTGGACAGTAATGTTTAAAGGATCCCTTCATTTTGCTGCAATTGGTATAATTACATTAAAAAATATACACCTGCACAGTACAGCGGCAGTACACATTTGCCAAATTATCAAGCCACCGTTATAATCTCGGATCTCAGAGTTACTTATAACAACACAACAATTAACGCATTCCCCTTCTAGCACTTTTACCTCTTCTTTCCTCGCTAGAATTTAGATAAAGTTTTGTCACAAAAGTCAATTTAGCTTCATTTGCAAGAACAGATTGAACTCTGAAATTCGAGCAGTTGGATGGGACAGCAGGATGCAAATGTTCCTTCGAAGAAGAGAGGAGAAAGGAACACGAATCCATCAGTTCATGCGTCTTTTCAATCTGTAAAAGGATCCAACCAGAGATTTCATTCAAAAACAATACTGGTGGTATTTGAAAGAGCACCTTGTCATGGACGCTAATTCAAACATACACAAAGGCACACATACCAGAAAAGGAGTATCCTTGAGAATTCGACAGCATGAAATCTAGCTGCGCGACAAATCAATAAAATATGCTGCAGACAAGCTGAGAGTGCAGAAAGGGCGAGATAACAAGAGTAAAAATGCGGGATATCCCTTTGAAATGGTAGCCCTATAAAATTCCTTAAAAGCATCATAACAGCTCCACGATCTTAGGCTGCCTTAGAAGAGTTAAAGAGAGCATCATTCCTTCTCAAAACTTAAACGTAATTAAAGAAACAGTCGGACACGTGGAAGGAAAAAAGGAAATAAAGATCTATGCGTGTAACTACAAGAACGATGTATGAAAGAATTTATTCTACAGCTGTAAAGACAGCATTTATTATCACAGGTTTACCCTCTGCTGGTGCTGCTATTCGATTTATCGGATACGCTGTAAGCTTTTGTCCGCTCTATCGGTTTTCTCTCTTTGTGTCAAGAAATTCTTAAATTTTCCTACATAGGTCTTATTGGTTGAAAATGAATACTTCGACTGCTCTGATCATGTAAAACTTTGCCTTTAAACTTGTATATAACGAAAAATACTGTCGTCCTCTTCCCGTTAAATCTGTAGCTAGCAAAATTTTCAGTCCATCACGCAGGTCTTGCCAATTTCAAAATGGTTTTAGCTGTTCTCCTGAATAAACATTTTCGTGTACCTTGGAAAGTTATGGAAACTGAACTGGGAAAAGTTAATTTAGTGACAGCAAACCGCTGAAAATGCTGAACCATCTCCGCGAATAAGTACCCTTCCTCGGTAACGTTAAGAAGCTTTCTCCATTTCCGAGAAGCAACATTCATGAGCAGAAGCAAAAGAAGTTTTGGTCTGTTTGTTATAAAGGCTATATTAATAGATGCTCTATATAAATCTATTGAAAAGTATTGCTGTTTTTAGAAAACTGTAATAAATTTATTACTTGTCATCTAAAACTACTGTTCCCTCTTAACTTTAAAAATGATGAATGTTTATCTGTGAAAATAGTTTTCAGATTGACTTCAAAGCCTACTAGATTTAGCATACAATGTTCTGGTATATTCTTAAACTATTTGCTAAAGTCGAAGGAAAAAAAAAAAAGTTGGAAGTTTTGTGTAATTACCAAAAAATAATACCAAAGATATATCAAAAGTTGTTTGCAAAAAATTGACTATTTCGTTTTACAAATCGTATCTCAGTTAATTACCAACCAATCATAAACATTGGATGCACAAATGATAAAAACCAAAGTTACTGTACAGACTTCAGCGACTGAACACTGAACTGTGCAATAATTTTGCTAATCAATACTAATTGCAGGTAATTTTTTTTACTTTGTTCTTTTGTAATACCGGTAGTTTAGAGCCAATACATAAGCGGTTGTGCCAAAGAAATGCCTACATTAGAAATCCTTTCGGTTACACTAAAAC